CTCACCTCACCTCACCTCACCTCACCTCACCTCACCTCACCTCACCTCACGCACTCCTTCATTCACTCACCCACTTGCTTACTCGCTCTCTCGATCGAGGGGTCCGCAACGTGACAGGAGACAACCAGCAATGACATGCACAATGGCGAACTTAAACACTTGACACGCAATGACAAATACCACACCAGACAACTCATGACAACACCAAACATAACCACAGCACATAATACAAGGACAACCGTGACAACAGACAACAGACAATGACACACACACACACATAAAGAACAACAACGCTGGCCAAAACCACAACACACAACACTTGACAATATACAGACAAGGCCCAAGCACGATGACCGACAGCAGATTGTGATGCCAAAGAACAACTGGCGTCGAAGACGGAGACCGTGTTCGAGCGTGAAACGGTCGCCAAACCTGGAGAGGATGGTGATGCCAAAGCGTGAAACGGTCGTTGCGGAGTGGACAATGTCATGCGCAAAGTGGCGAGCTCCGAGTGGCCAACCGCCATTTTGGACCAAGGACGCGCTGCCACAAGCGCATGCATGTTTCTCCCTCCCTGAAGTCACTCCGCGCTACATGTGCGCTTTGGAACCGCAATATGCTGGGGCGGAATGATTGGTGGTGTCAACAGGGCCTTGGGGTTACGGTTACATGGTTGCATCTAGTTTGTGGCAGCCATGTTTGGCGAGACCTCGGTGGAAAGTGTGTTTGCGCAGACGTGCGTGTGAACAAACGCCACTGGTGGCTGGTTAGCGCGATGATGCGTGGCTTGGTGTCGCATTGTTGCATCCTGTATTTGGCGCACGGTGTTGCGAAATTACGTTGGTGATGTGGATGCGTCTTCTGACCAGTCTTCATGCATACATTTTCAACCCATTGTCATGTTCACCCTCCGCCTTCATTACGTGCGCACCACACACTCGGGATATTGCGCAAAGTGCCGATTTGCGGTTTGCCACTCGCCAGCCCTGAAGTAAAAAACTAAGGGTCCAGGGACATGAACCTGAAGTATTAAGTGGAGAGTCGTCTCACAACATGACATGAAGAAAATCGCAAATCCTTCAAAGGCCTCCAAGTGTGGCACGGTTCAGCAGCAGGTCAGTCAAGCTCATTAGCACTTTAGCACAGAACCGAAGCCAAGCGATAAGTCTTGTTCTAGTTCTGCACGGGACCAAGGAGGAAATAATAGGTGATCATCTTCTTGCAGGTACGTGCAACCTCCGTCCAGATTGCATATCACAGCAAACTTGAAGTGTCTTCGCTGAGCGGTGACTTCAAGAACCCCCACCGCTCCCCTGCTAAAAGCCAAAAAGGTTCCCTGTGACAGCAAGGGTTTCACACACACGCACGTCGTCAGGATGATGATGATAATGATGATGATGATAATGATGATGATGATGATGATCATCATCATCATCACAATCACCACCATCAACATCAACATCAACATCATGAATCCTAATCCTCGTCATACTCATCGTCATCCTGCATCACGACAACAACATCACTCAGCACATCATGCGATCACACGTCACATCGTGACATCATGCTTCATCATATTCATTGTAGTTTGTTTCGGGCAGGAACCCTTCTTCTTACTCTTGCAATGCAGTTGTTCTTTTGGTCAGTTTTTTGTTGGGCGAACTCTGGCAGGTAAACAGTAGCCGGTCTTCATGCGGGCCAGGTTTCTTACACCACGGCATAGAAATTCATATTTAGAGAAATTTGTCCAATCTGGTCGGGTGGGGGTAACTCGAGGTAACATATTTTTTTCCTGTGTCCCAAAGTGTCCCCGCCTTTTTTGAAAGAACATTTGTTCTCAACTTTGATCAAGCGGAACCTGGTGAAAGCAGGGCCTGAAAAAACTCTCCTCGCGTGAACAACACTCCAACATGACAGGATGGTGTGAAGCCAGTGCCTTCTGTGGTGAAGGCACGGGGTGCTCCCTTGTGTTGAGCTGGATAGTTTTTCTTCTTTAGTTACTCAGAGACATCTCCAACAGTTGTGGGTTTTTGTACCTTTTGTCATGTCAGGCTGCCTTGGCTGCACCAGTGCAAGCCTAGAATAGAGCAGGGTGAGGCAAACAGATCCACACAAAGCATGTGCCTCACAGAAGATTTGCTGTTTGGGCCGGAGAGACTGTCTTGCTGCTCTTTGCAAATCACACAAATCACCCAACACTGGGGCCGGCACTCATTGTTTTACTGCCTTGATGAATTGTAGCTGCTGCCTCACCCAGTTTCGTAAATGATTTGTGGTGGAGCCAATGGCATCCACCCTCTGTCACAGCCATCGTCCATCCCCTGGACCAGGTTGACCCCCCACTTATCTTCGCCGAAAGAAACCACGTGCATCCTGTCGTCATCGTCGTGGTGTCATTGTGTCTTCGCTTGATGACATTGGTCCAACAAGGCCACTGATTTTGGATACAGAGGCAACCAAGGGCTAAGGCTTTGAAAGTCTTCACAAGCTTTGCATCAGATGCAACGTGTCAAGTGTGCATTCGAGAGTCCAACATCACCAGGTTCTAAATCCTGTAGCCATCTCCCCTCATCGAAAAACTGATAGTCCCGCCCTCCATTCTTCATTCTCCAGGAGGTTCAGCATCAGAAGGCCTTGCTCCATCAAGAGGAAGCTACTGCAGCTAACTTCAAGGTGGGATGATGCTGAGTGCCTTCTCTCACATTGGAGAGGTGATCGATTTGGAGCTCAAATCTCTTCTGGGTTCGCTTCAAATCGGTTCGCTCCAAACCTTGGATGTTCCAGACAAAAAGCTGGTTGGAACTCAAGGCCCAGCTGGAGCGAGCCGAGTCCATGGCGCAGCACTCCGAGAAGGCCGAGTGACGCGGAGCGCGACGCATGTGACGGTCGAAGCACAGTGACGCGTGACGCGTGAGACGACACGCGAGCTCACCCTGCAAGGCCTCGCGCGAGCTCCAAGAATGGATGGTGAGATCCTTGAATGAGGCGTGTGATTGTGCGGTGGGATGTGGTGGTAAGGGTTCCACATAATCTTAGAATCTTAAGCACTGGTAGCAGTGAAATCTGCTGGTACCGTGGTAGATTAGCGAGGTATGAATGACTGGCGTCCTTACAGTGAGTCAGGTCAATCTCAGTGCTCATCCTTCTGGGGAACCACGTGGCCGACAATGTTCAGGGCTCAGCGCCACATCAGATTTCATGATCCTTTTGAGTCGGGTTTCAAGGGTGTGCGAGAATCAGAAGTCAGTTTTTTTTCATGCCTCATTCTCAAAAGCGACCAATAAGATTATAGATGAACATGACATTAACCTCCAAACAAACCTTTTTTTGATCCAAGGGATCTTTTAAACAACAGGCAGGTCCAAATAGTTCCCACAGGAAATCGGCCTGAACTACCCACCACTTGTCGGACTCAGTTGCTTCCGTGCCCAGTTGCCACAGAGCCCAGCCGGGTGCGCTGACCGATGACCGCCCGTTAAAGCAAACGCCTGCCAGGCCATGGTCCTAGGCCTTCAGATGGATGTTCAAATTCTGAGACACTGGTCTACTCTGCGATATTTTGTTGGGAGGAACGTCGATTCACCTGGGCATTTGCAGAAGAGTCCATTCTTGACGATCCTTAGTAGACCTGGGCTCGTCCTAGAGACTGTTTGTCAATCGGGAGGATACACTTATCTATGACACTCCAGTTTCCTCGTCTCCAATCTTTTCCTGAGATGTCACGGCCTTAAATCTTGCTGCCATGTGCTCAACCTCCAGTAGCAGGAGGGAGTCTTCCTTGCAGAAATGATGCTGGAAAATTCCCCTTAGGCCATCGCTTGTGCGGTGGTTGGAGGCTAAAGGGCCTCAATTGTAATTTAGCTTTGATTCCTCGACGCCATGCCGCCCAGAGGGAAAACGCCTGCGGTCGCCCTCCCCGTCGAGGATGCCTTGCTGGAACTCCCAGAGGGCATGGAGGTTCAAGATCCGCCATTCAGCTTCGTGCTCGCCCACCTTGTGAGTCATACCTTCCACGTTGAGGCTGAGGCTGAAGGGACTGAAGGCGATGTCGGTGTACAAGACTTTGATCCACTGGAGTCTTTGTCCAGGTACCATGAAGGAGATGCACCACATACCTCCAATGTTTTATTGCTCACACGTGATGAGTTGGAAGGCTTCGCGGAGGGTGGCACCTTTGCCGCTGGCATGCGCCGCAAGGCGGAGGCTGAGTTTCTCTGTCGCCGGCGCAAGAAGGTGAATGAGGCACGGCAGAAAGCCATCGACGACGGAGGTTCCATGGAATCGGACGATTCCGAGATGGACTTGATTGTGATCGTCTCTGGTTATCCTTCCACACCCGAAGAAGTGGATGAGCTTGAAGATGCAGGTCTCTTTGACTTGGCAGATGCATTTGTTTCCATTCACCTGGCTGGTGAGACCTTGATAGATGAGCCAGATGAGACCGGAGCTACGAGGAGAATAGCCAAGATGATAGGTGCACCCCCAGCCATCACTGCTCTGCGAGAAAAGGTGCTTGGCGCTGAATCTGGCACGCCGCTGGCCTCAACCATTGTGACTGAGCTCTATAACTGTCATGAGTGGGCACTTTCACAAGGTGAGATATGATCAAAGCGAACCAGTAATTAGCTTCAATCTAAAAGTGTCACAGACTGTTTGGCTGTTTTCTGCATCTTCCAGTATTTTCCACTATATAATGAGATGAGTTTGTGATCCCTGCAGGTTTCGAAGTTATAGACCCATGCCGGGTGATCGTGGGGGCGATTTCCTTTGCTGCCCAACGACGCATCAGCTACAAGGAATGGTTGAGTGCCTTGCCGGAGGATCGAGTGGTCATCCCATCGGTGGATCCCATCGAGCGCACCGACACGTCGGTCTATGAGCGCCTGGTCGAATCCACGGATCCTGCACACCATGATGTGTCCTTTATGTTGTACTGTCTCTGTGAACAGGTGAACCAGTCCTTGAAGGGGGACACGGCGGAAGTGCCAGCCGCAAGGCAGAAACCTTCTGCAGAGCAAATGAAAGACTTGGCTGAAAAGGAACTGGCAATGATCGAGAAACTCTTGGACAACACATGCGACGGACTGTTGCTTGGGCAGGACGCGGCTAAGAAGTCCGAAGCCGCTGGGCTGCACTTCTTGGCAACCCGTTTTCTTGGAACTCCCCGTTTCATGTTTGACCTGGTGAGCCCAGTGATCTCATTCAAATTCGATCCACTCGCTGTGATACTGAGAAGCTCAACATGAGATCAACACTGCTGACCCAACCCTCTAGGATGCAGCAGGACAACTTGACAACAGCCTTTGCATTGTAGCAATAGGTTTTAGCCAATAGGGGCCTCATGAGTTTTAGGAAGATGCAACACTGCAAAATACACCCAGGACAAGAGTCACGAGGTAGTTGGAAGTCTGATGGCGATGGTGGAGCAAGAAGAGATGGAAGCAGAGCGTGGATCGAAAGAGGAGCGTCTCCAGTCCTTGAACGACCCCATGGACTCTGGAGTTGTTTTGGCAAACCCACTCGGAGCATCTGCAACCCATTCACCTCGGATGTTTATCATCCGATTGCAACATCCAAGCTTCGCAGATACTAGATCTTCCATGACTTTCCAGTCAGTCCACACCAGAGTCACGTCCGCTAGAGGCCATCGAAGCGCCTTAATATTGAATCTTAGGGTTATATGGCTGGCGAATGTTCTGCATGTGCATGGGGTTGCCTCTGCCAAACTGATGATTCTCCTTTCCAATCCTACGGATCTTTTGCCCATTCCACGACCCAGGAGGAGGCTCCTCAGCAAGTGCCGCAGACTCCTAATCCAGGCTTGGGCTCATGTGCTCCCGAAGACCTGGACGAAGACCTGGTGATCCCCTATCATGACCGCATGCGCTGCCGGAGCCATGGTGGAAGATCCGATCCGATCGAGAGAGGATGGAGCCAAGCCGTTGGCGGTGGCTTGGGGAGATGGGGATGGACCATGTATGGCCGTGTGACCCTTCCAAGTTCCTCCCAGTGAATCCATAGTCTATAGTCAATCCGTGGGCTTGAGAAGATCTGAGGGCAGGGGAGGAGTAACTACCGGGTGCCATTTTGTTGCACTTTTTTGCATCGACGCAACTTTTTTTTGCAGTGCTCTCGCGAAACTCTGGTCCATAAAGAGTTACGAAGGGCCCAGAATTGGCCGCTGCGTCTCAGGCACGTGGGACATCGATTTCCTGGTGGCAAGTCCGTTGCGCTTGAGATCGAACAGATCCTTTCGCATCTCAATGCGCCAGGGATCAATCGACAGAACTTTCCGTTCAGAGTCTCAATGACCGCTGCGGAAAGATCAGCCCACCGAACCTTGGAAGACACACCAGGGGGAGCAAGGCCAAAAGGACACCAAATTGCAAGTACATGGTTTTTTTAAGCTTGGGGGGGGTAGGCCGCTAGAGGTAGGTAGGTAGCTAGTAGTAGCTAGGTAGCTAGTAGCTTATGTAGCTACTACTTAGGACGCAGGATAGCTCGTGCTTCTTCAAGGAAGCTCCCCCCGCCGCCCTTAAAGGTGGTAAGCCCTACTCTGCCTGTCCCTCTCGCAACTTTTTTGACATTGCACGGGCAAAAAGGTTTTTATTGACTCTGTTTTCTAGAGTCATGAGTGAGTCCTGCTCTTCTGGATGAACAAGTGAAGCACCTCTCATAATCTCTGTGAGATGCACATCGATCGTAGCTTTCGATCGTACCAGAATGGCTTCTTGTTCGTCTGGAATTGCAACAAATCAAGTTCTCTTAATGCAAGCTGCCAAGTGTTGTGGTTGGGCCGAGCTTGACCGAGATTGACGTGACCATATGCTGTGAGGAAATCGGATCTATAAGTACATGCCGAGTTGGGATCTCAGATGACCTGGGCTTTGGCCATTGGCGACGGTTGAGGTGACACACCCACAGCGACGTTGATTTGGGAGCAGTGTTGGAAAACCTTACATGGGCTCACCGTTTGGGTCTTTTGCCTGTCATTCTCCATCGGATGGATTCCGATGGCTTTTCAAGCGACCCGCTTCGCTTGGCCCGCCTTTTCGGGGGAACGGGTGTCCCAAGGCATGCCTGTGGTGGAACTGGAGCGCTTGCTTTTGCTTCGCGAGTTTCAACATCTGCTCCACGAAGCGCAGCCCGAGCGCCAGTGGAATCTGAAGGCCCTCCGGTGGCAGCCTCTCCGGGCCCTCTGGATCGGTGTACCGTTCGGCCTGTTTCGAAAGAAGGGGGTGTTGGGTGAAAAGTACCACACCGGTGAATTCCTTGGGACGGCAAGTACACATCCTTTTGCGAATGGGTGAAGAGTCCGGTTGAGGCAGAGCATCTCGTCAATGGAGGGAGAAAAGGTTTCTTTTGAAGGAACGAGACGTGCCAGGTCTTGACAAGGCATGGCGCAGTGGACACGGACTTGACTACCACCAAAACCACCTGAATGGAATTCTGCCTTTTGCAGCCAGCCGCCTTCCGCAGAACCCGCTTTCCAAAAGGAGCCTTTATTTAATGAAAAGGGGGAGTTGTTGTGAAGCCATTTTTACAAGAAGGTTGTCTTAACACTGGCATGCCAAAGATGGGAGGTTTGCGAGACCGGAAGTGGAAACGCATCCCTGACCCGGGAACTCCATCCAGAAACAGCGAACAGGACGAATGCACCTACTGTAAGTAGAAAATGCACTGTAGAAACGCCTCTCAAACATGCTCAAACAAGGCTAGCCTTGTAGGTCCAAGACCAGGCCGGCTGCCGTGTTGCCTTTCCAGGACTGGGTGTTTCAGGAGAAAATCTCGGCATCCTTGCTAAGTCAGACGATCCTTGAAGCGAGCTGTCGGGACTATTTTGTCAACATGAAGTACATGGAGCGTGCCTTGGTCAAAAGGGTGATGAATTGTTGATTGGCACCTTTGCATGCATCACTTTGCCTCTACTAGGTTGGAGGCGCTAAGTTGTTAAAAAGACGTGTGTTGTGTAAACGCCAGGCATAAAAACACGCAGCTAGAATTAGTACTTAGTAAACGCGACCATAAAAAACACGCAAGGGTTTGTTGGAGGATTTGAAGGTTGAGATTTCAAGTTATTAATAGTGTAGTGTAGATGCTTTTTCAAGAAGAGCGAAATTGCATGTGAGTAACCAGACAAAAGGTCGGTGATGAAGGTATCACATTGGAGTTCCCAGGGTTTGTGAAACATGCAGGGTTCAATCTTGGAGCTAAATGCGTTTTTGGCGACTCAAAAACGCATTTGGGCTAGTGGTAGGTGACTTTCATAAAGAACATTGTCTTCCCAATTAACTTTTATTTAGCTATTGTCTGGACCAGTCTTGGAACTAAATGCATTTTTGGCGGCTCAAGAAAACGCATTTGGGCTAGCGGTGGGTGACTTTA